TAGGGTTATATTTAGGGTAACTCCAGTTAGGGTACATATAACTCTACGTATAACCTACTTACTAAGTCCCCGGGGCCTCCAAGCAGAAGTGCTGAACCCTTAGCGCCCAAACACTAAATCCAAAGGCCCCTACAATCTTAAAACCAAAACCCTAAACCCAAAATCCTAAACCCTAAACCCCAAACCAAAAGAAACCATTATTCTCAAGGCCACCCGGAACTCGAATAGAACCTTTTAAAGAGCCTCAAAACCTTAAATCCTAAACCCTAAACCCTAAACCCTAAATCCTAAACCCTAAACCCGAAGCCCTAAAGCCAAGAAGGCTCCGAACCCGCCTTTCCAGGGAGCCGCCAGCCCTTCAGCGCTCCAAAGGCATCGGGACCCCGCAGCGACGACGGATCCGTGGCGCTGCCCTGGTTTAGGGTTTTAGGGTTTAGGGTTTAGGGTTTAGGGTTTAGGGTTTAGGTTTAGGGTTTAGGGTAAAGTTTAGGGGTTAGGGTTGCAGGTAGGTTGTAGAAGAGCAAACGAGACGAGGGTTTTCGGGTATAGGAGCATATCCGTGGTGGCAGTAACCGGCAGCACGACCATCCCGGTCCTCCGGATAGAATGCCTGATCCCAATCCTTGTTCTGGACGACCTGCATCGGTATTCAGGACTCGAAGATAGGAGGAGTATAAGAGTTTACGGTCCCGAGCTCATGGTTTCAGTTGGCCGTTTTACGGTTCATGGCTGTGGGTTGCTCTGAGCTTGGGGTGGGGTCTTTTCTCTGCAGACAGCATGCCGGAAGTCTGAGGGTACATAATAACATAAACCCTCAACCCTAAACCCCTAAATCCCTAAATCCCTTAACCCTAAACCCTCAACCCTAAACCCCTAAATCTTTTGAACCCATAATCAGAACCGTTTCCCTCAAGGATCTCAGAGAGCCAGCCGGCGCCGTGATGTTCCTGGTTTCGTTTGCTGGTGACTCCTAGGATCAAAGCGAGAGATGCAACAATGACAACTGCAAGAGATTCTATGTGGCCTTCTGCGCATTGCAGAGCGCAAGCACTACTCGTTTTGTGTCTCTTGGCTTTACTGGCTCAATGTTTAGGGCTTGGGGCTTCGTTAGCATTGAGAGTTTAGGGCCAGTTAAGGGTGAATGTGGGTCAGAACTTACGACTGAGGACTAAAGCTGAACACCAATTTCGCCCCAAACCCAAAGCGACAACACAAAAAAAAACAGGCCTGGAAGGTATCCTTGTCGCTTCTCAGCCTCACCTGAGGATGGTGAAGGTTGCTTCATTTTCGGATGTTTGTTGGCAGTTCGTCTGCTACGCAATCCTAGTGAAAGAATACTAAACCAAAAGCCACGAAATTTCCGATGCACCCGAAGCCCTCAACCCAACAGTCCCCAAACCATACGATCGTCACATAACTCCTAAAACTCTGCTGTGCCGGCATCAACCAAGTCCACTGTGGATCCTCTAACCAGCTCTACAACTCTCCTCAAGCATGAAGCGCCTGACTGAGGCTAACATAGGGGCCTTAATAATTAGACTAGGGTTTTGCGGGATCCTTATTATAAATATAGGACAAAGGCCCCCAAACCCGATTCTAACTATTAAGGCCCCTATATTATCTGTACGAAGCCGCCAACCATGAGCCTTTGAACAATCCTACACCGTCTTTCAAACTTCGGCGTTGAGCTGTGGCTCTGCTTTCGACGAAGGCTCGACATGGTGCTTTCTGGGTTCATATTCTTATATGCATGACAGCAGTGATGACCCATTAGGCAACCTGGCCTCCGTGACGAAACTGCGCGACTTGCTGCTTGAGGACGGATGCTCCTGTCGCCAGGGTTCAGGGCTTACCAGGCCCCGTGGGCTTATATGCCTAAAACCGAGGATGGACCCTTTTCCACAAGCATTCCACTGCCACGGTCTTCAAAAAAACCCATCGGCGCTGCAGCCACCAGCGCCTGCTCGATCACTGCACTCAAGGCAGCCGTGCTCCCTAAGGGCACCGTCCTGTCTCGGTGCAATTCACGGCGGCTGTGGTGGACAGTGGCGGCCAGCCGGTCAACCGTAGAACCTGCACATCTAGCACATCTATAACTCTGAAAATCGGCCCAAAACTTGCTGGATCAAACTTGCCATCAACGACCTGTGTCGTTGCTTGGCTCTCGACGGTGCTTGATCTCGTGCTTCAATACAGCCTTCATGTCGTACTGTCCCAACTCACCTGCTGCCCACTCAGCAATCCGCAGTTCTCGGACATCCATGGAAGCTACCGTCCGAGGAATCTGGGAGACCATTGCTGGCAAGAAGCTCAACACCTCCGGTGCTATTTCACGAAGCGTTGCAGCTGCCCAAAAGCACTGCAGAACATCCTGCTGATTCATTCTGCACTTTTTCTAGTATGCACTTCGAGAGTGATGGTGCAGCTTTGAGGACCTCCGGGTCATATTCGTGCAATGTGGCGGCAGCCCAAAGGCAGTTCGACAACGCCTGAGGAACCATATTATCCGCGTGCTGCGGTATGCGTTCTGCGAGTGATGGCACAGCCTTGAGGACCTCTGGCTTTGATTTGTGCAATTTGAGCGTGGCCCAAAGGCAATTCGACAAATCTTGAGGAATCATGCTCTCCGCCTGCTGCGGTACGTGCTTTGCAAGTGATGGCACGGCTTTGAGGACCTCCGGCTCCTTGTCGTGAAGCTTTGCAGCGGCCCAGAGGCAAGTCGACAATGCTTGGGGGTTCATGCTCTCCGCTTGCTGTGCTATGCGTTTTGTGAATGATGGCACAGCTTTGAGAACATCGGGCTCTGCTTCCTGAAGCGTTGCGACTGCCCAGATGCTGTTCGACAAGTCGAACACATTCATTGCCACTGCCTTGTCCTGCAGACACTTCACGAGAGGCGCAACAGCACTAGCCAGATTGGTACCCATGCGATGGTAGATACTAGCAACTGCCCAGAAAATATTTGCAGCCGCACGTGGAGCAATCATGTCATCCTGGATCATGATGCGAACCCTGGTTGCGAGTCTCGCCCATTGTGGGCTTTTCACCACACCTTTTGAGAGTTGACGCCGCTTGTTGAAAAAGGCAATGCGAGTAAAGGTGGCCGACATGTGGAAGTCGTTGAAGTCAGGTGTGTCCATCTCTTTCTCCAAGAGGGCCAACAACATGGCAGTCGACTTCGTATTCTTTATCTTCGTTGTAAGAACCTTAGGATTGGAATCGGAAGGCACCCAGCTGGAGGGATTGGAAGACGCTTTGCGTCTCTCCCTCACCTGGCGGCAGATGCGTGATCTTCTAAATCTGTGGGGATAGCAACCCATCACTTCGGTGCTGTGATCTGTGAACACAATATCACATCTGTGGCCGCTGCCAAAAAGACAGAGATAGAGCACGACAAGCATCAGCGCCACAAGTGCGGCTGGAGTCGCAAGCCGCCGTGTTGGCCCGGACCCTGCATGACAGACGTCTCCCAGCGACATGGCAATCGGGACACGCCAAGGACGAGGCCAGATCCAACTTTGTTCTCTCCTAAACGTCTCTTTTCGCACGAGCCGGTCGGAATGAGGCATTCAGCTAGTCCGAATCGAGTCCTGCAGGATTCCGGGATTCAGCCTCACCGGGAACAGTTACAGAGAACGAGAACCCCAAACCCTAAACCCTAAACCCGAGATCTCTAAACCCTAAACCATGAGCTAGGGTTACAAATACGGGTTACAAGTATAACTACGCTACTTATAATCCTACTTACGACCACCCCAGACCCTAAATCCTAAACCCTGAACCTTATAGAACCCTTAAAAGAACCCTGCTGCTATAACTTATAACTACCAAGTAGTCTGGCCTCCTCCATGCGCTGAAAGTCCCAGAAGTTGAAGTCGCCAGCGACATAGTACGAGGATGGCGGTAGAGCCTGCCGAACTTTAGGGTTTAAGGTTTAGGGTTTTAGGGTTTAGGGTTTAGGGGTTTATAGTTTTTTAGGGTTTAGGGCTTGCCGCTTCGGGTTCAGGGTTTAGGGCTTGGCATGTTTGTGTCGATGGCTTTTGGGTTTTGGGCTTGGCGCCGGCTTTGGTGTCGTTGAGGCTTAGGGTTTGGGGTTTCCGGGCACCTAAACCCTAAACCCTAAACCCTAAACCCTAAACCCTAAACCCTAAACCCTAAACCCTGGCAGTAATCAACACAACCACAAGTCTCCCCAAGCACTGAAACCCTTCCCTTTCTCGACCTGGGCCGGTTTCATAGAGTTTGAAGGCTTTCTTTCATCGCCAACATCTTGAATAACAGCTCCACGCAAGCAGGCCCCAAAAAGCACATACCCAAGCTCCTGATAAAACCCTGAACCCGAAGATGTAATATCGACGCCTTAGTAATTGGAAGTGGGGTTTTGGGCTTCTACAGAATATAGATATAATGCGGAAACCAAAGGAATAATATTGGTAATTGTTCAGGCTTCTACACCCTAAAACTCTAAACCCTAAAAGCCTAAAACCCCAAAGCCCTAAACCCTAGAACCTTAAACCCTAAACCCCTAAACCCTAAACCCTAAACCCCTAAACCTAAATTAAACAGGTCTTAGAATGCTTCTGCTCAAGGGTTGCCTCCCGGAAGTCTCAGCGCTTCACCCTACTTCGATTCAACCTTAGAACCCCTGAAGCGGCAATCAACTCCCAAATCCTAAGCCCCTAAACCCTAGTTTAGGGCCTACCTTAAACCTACTTTTTTGCGGACTTATATAAAGAAATCATAAAAAAAAAGCCCTAAAAAGGTAGGTTGTTCAGGGTCCAGGTAGGTGTAGGGTTTAGGGGTTCTTCTTACAGAACTCATCCTAAAAACCCTAAACCCTAAACCCTAAACCCTAAACCCTACCCTAAACCCTCCTCATGGAGCCCTTCCGGGCCGCGCAACCCCAGAGCCCGAAAGCGACGGCCTCCGAAGAGAAGGAGGCCGACCGGGGCAGCTTCTGCCAGTCGACCCGTCGCATGTCACCTCTGAACCCTAAACCGCCTAAACCCTAAACGGTTTAGGGTTTAGGGTTTAGGGTTTAGGGTTTACGACCCTAAACCCTAAACCCATATGCTACGGCAGTTGAGGGGTGCGGGTTTAGGGGGTTGGGTTCTCAAAGGATTTTTATGGTTTTTTTTGCAGACCATTAAAAGGGTTTTTGTATAAGGGTTGCAAAAGGTTCAGGGTGTAGGGGCTGCAGGGTGTTATGGTTTAGGGTTTGGTGGCTAGGGTTTTACGTTTGATGATTTAGGGTTCGGTTGTTGTTGAGGGCTCTTGCAGCCTAACCCGCGTCCAGAAGTGAGTTTAGAGGTAAGGTGCTGCATTTTGGGGTTCAGGGGAGTGTCTAACGGTTGACCATGCACGGTTCTAAGGTTTTCGCGTTTCCTGACTGGAAGAAACTGCATTAGCTATGGTTCGTGTGTGAAACGGCATTAGCTATGTTTCGTGTGTGATGAAGCATTCGAGTTTGGGGTTCGCAGAGAGCCTACATACTTTTGACAAGTATCTTCCCTTCATACCTAGGCCTCGAGCCTAGATGATAAACAAAAAATCACAAGCAGAGTGCCCTAGACCCAAAACCCGAAACTTGCCCAAACCCTAAACTTTCCTAAGCCCTAAACTTTCCCCTAAATCCTAAACTTTCCCTAAACCCTAAACTTTCCCTAAACCCTACACTTTCCCTAAACCTTAAACTTTCCCTAAACCTTAAACTTTCCCTAAACCCTATAAAACCTGAACCCTTTTAAGGTAATGCAGGATTCCTATCATCAA